CTTAAATATTTTTCTGACAATATTTTTATGATAGCCAATTTTGTAAATTTTGTCAGACATCATTTTCAACCAATGTTATAAGATTATCCAAAGTTTTTTTTTTTTATATGTAACCAATCATATTTCTTCTTTTATAAACTGAGAACTTATCTGAAAATGGTTCAATTTGACCACAGATTCAACAATTGCAGTCTATTGAAACCATCAAAGTGAAATTTAGAAGTAATCAAGAAATTTTGAATCATGTTCAAAAAACATTCTGGTTCTAATATCGATCACCAAAATATGACTGAAAAGTAGATGTTCTAACCAAAACAAGGTTTCAAAACATTTCAAATCAAAAATAACAATATATATATATTCATTTACCACAGAATCAATATTTCTGGTATAAAAACATGAATTTATGAAATTTGAAAGATATCAAAGTGAATAGAAAAGAAAATTTGGTCAAGTCAAAAATATTCTTTGGTTATTTCTAACCATTGCAAGTTCATAGCTTGTAAAATACAAACTATATGTCATGAAAGACAGAGATAATTATGATTTGACAGTCTATGGGATTAAAACAAAATCAACAAGTGTCTCTGATATTCAATACATCATCAGAAATGGATGTGAACTCACTGAATGGTAGTGGGAAGCAGTAAGGTATTGATGGTATGCATATCAAAATATCAAATACATCGATTCAACAGAGATAAACAAAAAACAAATGCTTATTTCATTTGTCAAGTAAAAAGAGCAGTATGTAATTGAAATTATTTTATCTATTATAATAAAAATTAATAATTGTATTGAGCACTATTTTAACACTGAAAATATTCATTTTATTATCCTTTCCTGTATTTCAATAATGAACTAACACATACAATAATATACAGTATGGAGAAGTCGAGATAGAATTCAGTAGATGTCTCATCTTGTAGAAACAAAATAAACAGAAAGAAGAATATTCAATTGGTTGTTACACAATGCTATCACTTAATGATCTTAATCCCACAGCTAGTCCCACCGCCAGAGTTTAGTATGCCACCCGATAGACGCAGGACCTGCCCAAGGTAGACCTCCTTTATCTGTTGAACACATGAAAACTGAGAATAATTTAGAAAAATATCTGGAACTAGTCTAGATTTGATCCCCCTGAAGCAAGGTAAAAAATATAGAATGTCATTTGATTTTGTAAAGATCTAATCGTTGCGACCGTGGGACATATGACATCACCTACTCATAATTGCAGCAAAAGGCCCCCTCATCTACTACATGCTTTACTTCGGCTGTCACGCTAGCCGCCGTCCCCTACCCAGTTTAGAAAAAAATAACATCATCAATCTTATAGCCATTCCTACAGAGGGAGAATTCCGAATATATAAGACTGAAATCTGTCCAGTTAAAGCCAATAATTAGTTTTTGACAACTCCCCTTATCCTAAAGAAGTTGTATTCATTAACAAAGCCCCTGTTGAACTTGGAAATAAACTCATACTTGAAGTTGACTTCATGTTTAATGACTAAAATATTGTCCACATAAAATCAACCTTTATAAATCTGATGAGCTTTAAACATTCATTCTTTATATCTTATATGATACATAGCTCATCAGATTATAGCCACAGTGGAGGATAAGACTTGAATTGGGAAGAGAAAATTTGGCCAGACTTCCCATATAGCCTAAAGAAGTCATCTTTTCTCTTCAAACAAAATAGAATTTTGAGATTGACTTGTATAAAAATACATTCACACATTTACTGTAAAGTTCAACAGGCAGCATAAATAAAGCCAATAGATTCTCAGATTCAAGTGTTCCGTACTCTAGGAAGTTTCACGAGGAGCCCTGTTACGCTTCGGAGAGATTATGCTTTTTATCCTTCTAGTGGATAGGATCTTATCGTAACCATGGGAAGATCCCGTTAAGAATGGGAAGAAGATTTGTAATTAACAGAATGTAACAATCAATATGATTATTTTCTAACTGTTTATTCTGGTAGCTTATTGTCTTGTAAACAAAACCTCTCTTATCAGTGCCATGAGTTTCGATGCCAATCAAGATATTTTTCTTCCTATCAAATATTACATATCAATCCTTCAGCTATATTCCTATCATATATTATAACATTATCATTTCTTCACCTATATTCCTATCATATATAAGAATCATTCCTTCAGTTTTATTCCTATCATATATTATAACATTATCATTCTTTCACCTATATTCCTATCATATATTATAACATTATCATTCCTTCAGTTTTATTCCTATCATATATTATAACATTATCATTACTTCAGTTTTATTCCTATCATATATTATTACATTATCATTCCTTCACCTATATTCCTATCATATATTAAAACATTATCATTCCTTCAGCTTTATTCCTATCATATATCATAACCTTATCATTCCTTCAGCTTTATTCCTATCATATATTATAACATATCATTCCTTAGCTACATTCCTATCATAAATTATAACATTATCATGCCTTCACCTACATTCCTATCATATGTTATAACTGTATCATTCCTTCACCTACATTCCTATCATATATTAAAACATTATCATTCTTTCAGTTTTATTTACTATCATATATTATAACATTATCATTCCTTCAGCTTTATTCCTATCATATATTATAACGTTATCATTCCTTCAACTTTATTCCTATCATATATTATAACATTATCATTCCTTCAGCCTTATTCCTATCATATATCATAACATTATCATTCCTTCAGTTTTATTCCTATCATATATTATAACATTATCATTCCTTCAGCTTTATTCCTATCATATATCATAACATTATCATTCCTTCAGCTTTATTCCTATCATATATCATAACATTATCATTCTTTAGCTACATTCCTATCATATATTATAACATTATCATGCCTTCACCTACATTCCTATCATATATTATAACTGTGTCATTCCTTCACCTACATTCCTATCATATATTATAACATTATCATGCCTTCACCTACATTCCTATCATATATTATAACTGTATCATTCCTTCACCTATATTCCTATCATATATTATAACATTATCATTACTTCAGTTTTATTCCTATCATATATTATAACATTATCATTATTTCAGTTTTATTCCTATCATATATTTTAACATTATCATTCTTTCACCTATATTCCTATCATATATTATAACATTATCATTACTTCAGCTTTATTCCTATCATATATCATAACATTATCATTCTTTAGCTACATTCCTATCATATATTATAACATTATCATGCCTTCACCTACATTCCTATCATATATTATAACTGTGTCATTCCTTCACCTACATTCCTATCATATATTATAACATTATCATGCCTTCACCTACATTCCTATCATATATTATAACTGTATCATTCCTTCACCTATATTCCTATCATATATTATAACATTATCATTACTTCAGTTTTATTCCTATCATATATTATAACATTATCATTCCTTCAGCTTAATTCCGATCATATATTATAACATTATCATTACTTCAGTTTTATTCCTATCATATATTATTACATTATCATCCCTTCAGCTATATTCCTATCATATATAACATTATCATTCCTTCAGCTTAATTCCTATCATATATTATAACATTATCATTCTTTCACCTATATTCCTATCATATATTAAAACATGATCATTCTTTCACCTATATTCCTATCATATATTAAAACATTATCATTACTTCAGTTTTATTCCTATCATATATATTATAAATGTACAAAATTATACCCTTCATATAAGTCTTATATCTTGTATTTCCTAGTTTACATACACATATATTATTTATATATAACAGTTATATCATAGTATTTTACAGAATATAAATTTAGACCTACCTGAGATGAAAACCAGATGGTTTTGGCTTGTAGATGAACTGTTATATTCTATGTTACATAGCTGTAATATAAAAGAAAAAACATCTATGGAAAATCACAAAAGCAAATACTAAAGCCACGTATTATCGAAACGATCTTAATGCAAGGATGTCCTAGAATCAATGTAAATTGATGATAAAGGTATTTGAATACATTCATATAAAACCTAGAATCAAAATTCATTCTTGAGGGCTCCTTCAGTTTCATAGTTCAAGTGAAGAGCTTTGACTTTTGAAAGAGTCTAAAAGCAAATTAAAAATGGACATCAAAATGCCAGCAATTTCAAATTTCAGTATATTTACCTTATAAATAAATAGTATGTCATTCTGCTACTAGTCTTTCTGGATCTCTAATGATAATTTGATAAACATTTTTTTATGTTAAGATATCACTCTCAACCAAATCAACAACCACAAACTAAAACAAAATAAGTTTAGTATACAATAAAGGGTAACATTACCAAGGTTCAGCTCTCAAATAAAAATTTAGAAATTCAAAATTGAAAATATTCAAAGTTGGACATCTTTTTCATTTACCCTACATTATTACAATCAAGAAAGTAAATGAGGGAAGAAGAAGAATTTCTATTTATGAAAGTTATAAATTGAAAGGTAAAATAATTGAAATAAACTTACCTAGAGAAATCAACAAATTTTAAAGTCTGCATCCACGGATTTTTTTCTGTTGTGTTGCTGACATGACAACAAGAAGAAGTGAACCCTGGGATGTCTTCTGTCACAATGAACATACAATACAGGTGTAGAGAGGTTCTTACCCTATACTGACTTCAGCTCACCCCCTGGACAATACATGTATAGAGAGGTCCATACCCTATACTGATTTCAGCTCACCCCCTAAACAATACAGGTGTAGATGTCTCTACCCTAAATTGATTTCAGCTCACCCTAAAGCTATCAATGTGCCCTTTGTCTATATTTCTAGAAAATCTTTAATCCCTGACCAAAATTCATCCTTAACCTTTAAAACTCCGAACAAATTTCATCTTTGATCAAGAATTTGAACCCAACACAATGGTTGATAGTTAATTAAATTTTAGGTTGTAAGATATACCTTGAAGAGAGTGCAATATTAACAAAACTAGTCTCCCCAATTTTAAATTTCATTTAAAGGTTAAATACCTAGTGGATCACAAAATTTCATACAAAATCATTTCTAAAGCTACAAAGTACCTCATATCATTTGTAGTTAAGAGACACATAATTAAATTGTGAAAAAATTTTTCTATGGGATAAATACAAAAGTGTTTAATCATTCACTTTTGGCCTTTTTGTACTCATTTTATTCCTTACTACTCAGATATATCTTGAAGAATAAGTCAGTGGCTATTGTATGTGTTTTTATCACACAGGTAGGTATTAAACAATATTTTTCACAGAGAAGTCTCTAATTCCCATATAAAAAGAAATATTGAAGAATGGACAGGTTACAATACAGAAGAAATATGTATCAGGTTCACATTTCTACAAGCTAATTTCCTTTAGCTAAACTAAAAGCAATACCACAATAAACACACAATGAAAAAAGAACATCTCACCACAAACCATTAGACTGGGGTGACATCAATATACCTCAACATGTTGTATGTTAGTATATAAATTACATCTTGAATAATATTGATAATTAACTTACTAGATATCATGATATTTAACTGATCTACTCTCAGGCCAACTAGTAAGACTCTCATGACTTGATAATCTTCTAATAATTCTACCATTAGGCTGTTGATTTAGAGCAAAATATATTATTATGGAAGCAAGAAAAAATATTGTAGTTTGCCATAAAGTTATCTACGTAGCATGAAATATTTTAATCTAACTCTTCTGAGTTCTGGTGATTTTCTTCTCACTTAATATTCATGGAATCAACCAAAGGTGTAACCAAAATTCAAAATGGCAGAGAAGGGAATAGGAGGGTAAATTCAAAAGTTCTGTATCATTCTATTGAAAAATGAAATGAAATGGAAGGAGTTTTACGTCCTACTTTTCATCATTCTATTGAAGCCCAGCAGAGAAGAAAGGAATGTGGGATATTTCTAAATCTCATTTAAAAATAGCGATGGATTAAATTAATTTCTTCCTATCATTTTAAAAGTATTTTGAAATCATCGATTAAGTTTACCTTTTTTCTAACTGGTGATAAATTAGGATTTAAGGCAGAACCATCAGGTTGAAAAAATCTCAGAAACTCTATGGCATCTAATGATGCACTACCTTGATTAGAAATAGGAAAATATGAAATATTGTAGTGTGCAAGTTAACTTAACATAGCCTGATATACACATTCAAAATATCTCAAACAGATTGGAATATATTGATTTCAACCTACAGAAGAGAATTGGGAAATTAAAACTGAATGTCCTAAAAACTAAACTAAATATCATTTGAAAAAATATAATGGTTCACTAGTAATCTAATCAGAATTTTACAAGCAATTAATACTGACAAGATGAATGGAGCTTTAATAAATATAAAACTATTCTTACTTTCTTGAGGACAAGAATAAAAAGGAGATGATAATGGAATACTATCAGTAGAACGATATCGCTTCATGGTTTTCTGTTTTGATTCTTCATATTGTAAGGCTAGTCTTTCTGGCCATTTTGAAGGGTCTATGCTTTCTACTTCTGAAATAAATATTAAACATTCAGATAAATTTGAGCTTACGTAACATTACATATCAAGCCAAGCCTAAATGTTCAGATATTGCTTTTTATTCAACCAAAGCTGAAACAAATAGTTCTTATGAAAAAGTTTGTAGTAACAACACGACACTCTATGATGTGACAATAAAATATTCTTGTTTCTACTCTCTCATGACTATACACTGTCATGTTCGATAATTTGATGGCAACTTTAGAATTAATACCTGTATCCTCTTCTGAAATTTCTTTATCATGATCATCTTCATTATAATTATCAAATATAGATTGTAGAAATAGATGTTGAGTTTTATCTAGAAAAACTTGTAGTTGTTTCTTATCAATAGTTGTATTTAAATTCTTCTTCTTCTGTTCGTCTAAACAGTCAGAAAGAAGCAATCATATAGATATCTAATATTCTAATCAATCAAGCAAAACAATATTTTATGTGCTTTAGCTATCTAGCTTTGACCAAATACGTACAAAACTCATCAAAATTTAATGATACAATATGCTTTATAACATCTCACAAAAAGACAGACATTTCTAAACTAACTCAATAGAATACAATCTGATCAAATCTTGACAAACTTCCTAAAAAAAAAAGAACCTAAGGATGTCAAGGTATTAGAAACAGATCACAATACCTTGACAATGTAAAGAAGGGTAGAGAGGTGAATATAGAGAAGTTAGGCAAATGAAACAACTCACCAATCCAGTCTTTTAATAAACTGCACTGTAACTGATTGAGATGATCATGTAATAATGTAAGATTTAATGTATCGATACATGGTAAACTAGATACAACTTTATTATCACATATATTATCAGTTGTATCTTCATTAATATCTACCACAGTTTCTAGGATATTAATAATATTACTGTTAATATCTCCTGGTGATTTTAATATTGTTAACATTAATATATCACTACATCTATCAGATGTTATAATAAAATGTAGATATTGTAAACTTGGCAATATTTCTTCATCTGGTTCTGAAAAAAATAGAAAGGCATTAGTGATTCTCACTGCAGTGTACATTGTGTAAACCAATATCAATATATCCATGTCAATATGTTGGAGAGCAAGGACTGTTTGAGTTTGAGATTTGACCATCTACCAGCACTGTTAATTTCTAAGGTTCCTTGACGATGCCCTCAATGAGATTCCACAAACTTCACTCTTTGATATCTCACCACCCCTGTAATTCTAATAATTCCATATTCCAAAGTAAAAGCAGTTTACCTTGAATGCATGAAATATCTGTCATAATCTTATCTTTCCATGCTGATGTTTTTAGGTGATTAGTCAGACCACAAGTTGGTATATTTTTAGTATTATAAGTTGCCAGTCTACCAATATATACTTCCTACAATAAGAAGTCATTATCCTTTTTAAGTTGTCATTGTCAATTATTCCTCATTGGAGAAGTCTTTCTGCACAGCTTCATGAAATTGATTATTACTGAATAAAAACCCTCCTCTCTAATCTCCATTAACCCAGTGGCCAAATAATAGTTTGTAACTTTATGTTACCATTCAATTTGGTACCATGCTTTACGTCATCATTTTGATTTTTTATCTTCCTGAAACAGGTGAAAAATTCTCCTTACATTTAAGATTAATTTCTGTAGAGCTTACCTCCCTATTACTAGAATTAAAATCTTCTATAAATATTCTTGATTCTTTACAGTCTTTTACTACCTCTCTAACACAGATTGAAGGACAAATTTGATTACAATAGCTGTGAAAAGTCCTTGGAGATGGACCGTAGCTCATTCTATTAGAGCTTAGGATTCTTGGTGTCATTTTAATTGGCAAACTTAGATGAAGGCTTTGGGAAAGATAATTGCTAAGAAGTTTGTCCACAAACCAGCTGGTAGGCAGGATCCTCAAGAATCTTGGTATAAAAGCCAAAAGGATACAGTTGAAGCGTAATATTTGTCATAAGAAAAGTTGGAACTGTAGACATGTCAACAACATCTAATATCTCTATCATTCTACCATACTGTATATCTTTATTATTATATCTACATTTCAACTTCTTAATATCATTACTGGATAATCTAAATCCTGGAAACTGGTAGCCTTTATCATCCTGGAGATAAATTTGGAAAAAAAAAAACTCTTAATTTTGGTCTTCCAGCCACATCTTAATTTCCAATTGAATGCTTTTGGTTCCAATCACCTAGACCACTATCACATATGTTTTTATACAAATGCATAAATAGGTATAATATTCAATTGTAGCTTAAGCTAAACATTTTTTGTAAATTTCAATTAAAAATTGAGCCTGTTTTCAATCCATTTATCGAAAAAAGACAAGATATAAGGATGTCTCATTGAAACTCACCACTTTGTCTAAGACTGATATTTTTCCCATCCATAACGTTTGATGATCTAGGACATCATACTTGAATTCATCGACAATATCAGTTGATAGAAACTCAGTAAGCTCTAGAACAGACTGTGATAAACTATCACTAGTTGTTATAAAAGTCAAATCTATATTATGCCATTTCTTCATTCTATAAAATCCTCCATACAACTCTAAACTGAAAGTAACAAGAAATCGCTCTTAATTTTTGTATAATACACTCAATTTCAAATCATTTTTACTCAAGAAAAAGTTCAATCATTTTGAGAAACAAAGCACTTAACAGCACTCATGTTTAAAAACAACTTCATAACAGCTAACAAGATACTTTGATATCTAACCTGTTTTCACTTAAGTCATCTGGTAAAATACTATACAACTTGATAGGTTCACCTGAAAAAAAAATCCAACATAGATAACTTTCTTTGTGGTCAATATTTGCTAACAAACTTAATGCTGCTGACTTCCTGTTGTCACAGCTGCAACAGATGATCCAGATTGCCATCACAAACCTACTTGTAACAGGAAACCATGACACGCTGAGGTACACTCTTTCATATCCACACCTTCCACAATCAACGGTCAAATACAAAATGTGGAGCACTGTCAACATTTATTGGGGAACCTCTATCACAGTCTATTATCTGTCTGTGCACCCCCAGTTTAGAATGCTCTCTTACGGTACAAATAACTGTACATTAATCACACAAAAATACAGTAGTTTATAAACTATGCCTATTTCTTTCTTTATTTATCATAAGTCAGTGGTGTACAGACCATTAGTTATGAACATACCTGTATATAATAAACTATCAGATAAAACATGTAACTCTTCTGATAAATTTGTGTTAAAGTTATCCCTGAAAAAGTATGTCTGTTATTAGTATAAAACATCTCAATGATGTGATGAACTAAAAGAGAAAGTTTTCCATGTCAATAACATAACACACTGAGCAACATCATTGTATAGAGAAATTGTAAGTTCTGTTACACAATTTATCTTTACTCACTGATTGACTTCAGATATGAATTCATTCCATCCATCTTTATTCATCCATTCAATATGATCAATTTTCCTTGAATAACACTGAAATGAAAACAGTAAGTCATTAACATACTTATTGATATGCTTCAAAAACAATCGAGTCAAGTAGGTGAAAACTTATTAAATCTTTCAGCATATTCACCATAAAGTAGGAATATTGTCATTTCATTCTTTGTTTAATTTTCAACTGGTCCAGTTTGCCCTACTATGGCATATTTAGCAATATCATGTACCTTGTCATATGTCTGGTCTGAAGCTATAAAATGAAATGTTGATTCTAGATGACATCTTTTTAAGAAATCTTCAATCAAAGTTCTACTCTCTGTATCATCTATAAAAAAAAAAGATGGAATTAAACATCATGACAGTAACGTCTAACAACAAAGAATTATGGTACTTATTTGAAGTGTAGTTCTAAAAAAAAGGTGATTGCAATATGAACTGAAATTTTTATGATGTCTTGTTATGATGAAAAAGAGTGAATATTCTATGACACAGTACAGGGACTTCTATAATTATGAAATGAAATGAATGGAGTTTTACATTCTACTTTTCTGCACCATTTCTATAATTAAGGAGTAGGAAACAGAGTCTATGGTGAAAGGGATCAGAGCACTTCTTTGACCCTTCCAATTGTTTATGAAGATTTCAACTTCATTGATTTTCTTTTAGTTTAGTTTTAAAGAATAAAATCATGATTCACTAAAAAGACACTACTTTCACTTTCATCCTTCCACTTTCAACTGAAATATTTCTATGTAATTTGGGAATATTCGGAATATGATCATTTGAATTGGCTTACCAAAAGGAAAGATAATTGTGTACTTCATATTATTTAAGTGTTATATTCTAAACTAAATCAAAATCGAGTAGACCTATTTTTACGATCAAAAAATAAAATAAAATGTAAACAAAAAATTAAATATGGCGGGTGTTCCAAACAATTTAGGAAATTGTTTTTTTAATGTAACGAAAAAAATGTTTTCCAACAGTAACAAAATTATAAACAAGTATACGTATCAAATAATTATTTAATGGAATAGGCCTATTTGTAAAAAAAACGATCGACAAAAAAACTAAAGATGCTTAGTTTTGCAAAACTAACGAGTAGTACTTGAAGTCAAAAACTTTGCGATATTTTAAACTAATGTGGTCTGAAATTCATCATGCTAATCAGAGTTATCTTAAAGTTCGGACAACAACTACTAATTAAGAAATTAAATGAGTTTTACATACTACTTTTCTCCACCCGATTCTTTTCGCAAACGGAACTAATATATAAAATCTTATCTGCAAATTTAGTGTAATAATAAATTTTTCATCAATATGAAATGCATTTCGTTGATCATCTCCGTAAACTTACCTGTAGAACAGCTGGTCGTTAAAAAAAACCCCAAAAAACCACCAAGCTATATGATATAATTTCACACAGGGTGGTGAAAAATGGTTTCTTTTGCCCCATTTCTGTAAGGCAGGTAAATATTCTCAGTCATATCGTAATAATTACTGGGTAATTAAAGGTCTTTTTTTTTATATGTTATTACAATTTAAGAACATCAAAACAAGCACCTACAGTAAGAACAGTAATCGCCAGACACAGGAAATTGTTATAAGCAACAAGGACGCCTACCAGAGCAAGAAATCCCAGAACAACAAGAACAAATGTATCAAATGTTGACTCGTGTCTAAATTAGGTCCCCATAAAAGCATTTGTAAGGCCTAAGGCCTACACCTACAAGAGCAAGAGCAGCAAATCCATGGGCAACAACAAGAAGTCGACAGTAGCAAAAGTAACAAACAAAAACCATCAACAAAACTTGTTACATTTTAAAATGAGTGAAATTTGCCCCATATGATGAGACATAGGCCTAAGTAAAGAATAACCTACTGCAGGTCACAATGCGCTCGTACTCGGCCAATATAATATATTGATGAAGAAGCAGGTTGTTGTGACCCTAGATACTCTATATAAACAACCAACCCACAATGAGAAATAACATCTGTATCTGCCTGATTGTTTATTTGTAAATATACATTACCTCGACAGACGGTATAAAACTGATTCACGTTTGGTATTTTAAAGAAACATTGATTTCTCAAGGCATATTTATCATCCTATCGTCTGCTTTAACTATTAATGATATACTTTAAAAGACAGCATAACATATGCCCACGACCCACAAAAATCTTCGACTGAAAATCATTCTATTCAGTAGAAATTTAAAACGAATTAATCATTTAAACAAGGATAATAACTCCTAGAGTATAGGGACAGTAAATGTGAAGAGTCTATCTATAATTCATGAGTCTGGTCACTATGCTTAATAGCCCATGCCATGGCAATAGCTTACACTGTAAACCGTGTCAATTGAAATGGAGTTTTATACCCTATATTTGTGCACCCGATTGTGATCAGAATTAACAGATGAATACTGTTTTACGTAATGTCTTCAACCTTTTTTAAAACTTCACTAGATTTCTCTCAGATTAATTTTCAGTTTAAAACCAGATTATTTCTAAATGAAGCCTGTAAAGTACTTGTTTAGGAGCATTCATAGATTCAAGAATGGTGAGACTAAACCTGCTGGTAGAAAAAACTGTAACTATCTAGACAGACCACTGCTTTTCGCTTCAGGTTGGTATTATCAAAGTCGCAATGAAACGATAATACAGTTAATATTTCTGACGAATAAGTACTTAACCACTGAATGACCTCCCCAATCCCAAAATCGATCCAACAAAAAGTAGAACCCAAAATATTATTTTTAAGGCGAATGACGCCATTTGTTATCAATAAAACGTTTTTCTCGAACAATAAAAATTATCATTGTTTTTACAGTGACAATTATAACAAACCGAACATGATGAAAAAATACCGACTTCTTTTCCTACATCTGTAAAACTCTTCGTCAAAGCTTTTCAAATTCATTTTGGCATTCCAGCCCAACAGAAGAAGATCTTCAAAGATGTGGAAACTCACTGCAGGATTATGGCTTCTGTTTCTTTTGGAAATATTGTATCAAAGCGATGCCAATCCATATTCATTTGGTAGTCAAAGTCGCTCAATGTATGGAAGACCAATGCGCGGACCTCCAAGGGTTATATATTCAAGACCATTGTACCGACCAGGACGTAGACCACTGTACCGCCCACCAGTGTACAGACAACCAGTTTATAAAAGACCAATATACAGACAACCAGTACCAGTAGTACCAGCGTCACCACAAACTGTATTCAATATGGTATCCTCCCTACCATTCTACTTCTACAACAACTACGTCTGTAACGTTATATCCAATACATGGTTTGATCCCAGTTTCAATGGTTCCCCAAACATTAACTTCTATGTCCAGCAGATTCCACACGTTCATTACCGATCATCCATGTGGACGGCTTATTCAATAATTCGAGGAGTTTATTATGGATTATACCCATATTACGCATCAACTGAAAGATCGCAGCTTCTTAAAGATACTACAAGAGTAACCTTCCAAATGATGAGAACAACAAGGAACTACAATGCTGCTGATGTTGTAAAAGAAGTACTTCGTATTACCCTGAACCGTATTGGAGAACCAGGTGACATCGAGCAAACGTATAACCTAATGAAACAGATCAGGAACACTGATGTACGGTACATCAGAAGCAGTTCCAGTGGAATGGTACACAATTGTGAGTATTTTTCATTTTGTTTGGTACTGGTATGGCCACTAGGTTTATAGTAGAAAATTAGATTGTATTATAACATAAGATCTTGACAGAAATAAGAATCCTTAAGAAGGATGGCTGATGATCATAATTATATCTTGACGGAAATAAGAATCCTTAAGAAGGATGGCTGATGATCATAATCATATCTTGACAGAAATAAGAATCCCTAAGAAGGATGGCTGATGATCATAATTATATCTTGACGGAAATAAGAATCCTTAAGAAGGAAGGCTGATGATCATAATCATATCCTGACAGAAATAAGAATCCCTAAGAAGGATGGATGATGATCATAATTATATCTTGACGGAAATAAGAATCCTTAAGAAGGATGTCTAATTATAATAATTATGCGATTAGCCCCGTGAGTGCAGTGAAGTTTGATGTAGGCATGAAATGTGGAAGGTGTTGGACAGACCGCCTTTCAGCACTTATCTCAGACATAAAATCCATTAACTGGACAAATTGTTTGGATGTTGAATCAATCTTTCTATATTTTCTATTCTTCTTACAGCATGTGGAAGTATACAAGGACATTTCTATTGTGAATACATCAAAAGACTTCAGATGTCTCCAATCTGCAGCAGCACTTACTTCACAACACAACTTTGGAGCCAATGTTGCCAGGCTCAGCCACTTGTTGGACCAAATCCTCAGCCACAGCCGGTTGAAGTAACTACAACTCAACCAACGACAACCACAACGGAGGCCCCAAAAAGTAAGTGAAGTGTCATGGTCATACAACACATCAGTATGCTTGAAATACATTTCTCAAAATGATGTGGTGACTTCTCTGAATCCAATGTCACATGTTACCAATGTTTCGTTCCAGAATGTGGTATTAGTACCAAAAACCCGGCGTCTAAATATGCAAGTTTCACGAAAACACTGAGACAGTTCCGTATTGTTGGTGGTGTAAATACCGAGCTTTGCGAGTTCCCATGGATGGTGCGACTGCAAGTGGGAAGCAATTTATGCAGTGGCTCCATTATTGATGAGACACATGTTATGACAGCAGGTCATTGTGTATCGTAAGTTAAAATCCTTGTAAATATTTATAAGATTAGAAGAATCTTTCACCGTGAATCCAGTAAGTCGCAGTTAGTTTTTGAAAGGAAAAAGCTTACCGTCTGAGATGGTCATTGGAATCCATTCCTGTTCATTGTAGAAGATTTGATGCTAATATCTCTGTATTTCTGTTTTGAAAACTATTTAAAATGTAATTTTCTCTCACCACAGGTCACTGAAACCATCTGATATTGAAGTAAATGTAGGGGAATATAACTATCAGATAAAGGAAGCACAAGATCAAGTATTTGGTGTGTCAAAAATAGATGTTCATCCAGATTATAAAGTAACTCCACCAGATTCTGCAGGTACGGCAAAAGTTTTTTCAACTTTTCGAAAATGGATGAATATTTTGGTTCCTTTACAAGGTCTATAGTTTCGTAATGTAGATATTAAGATGAAAAAATTAGCTTGCGACCTTTGTTTATTTCAGAAAACGATATTGCCATCCTAACTCTGGATAAACCATTAACATTCAATGATTGTGTTCAGCCAGTGTGTCTACCGGAAGTTGGTGATAGTTCAGCTCTTGATAATGCTCAGTGTACAGTTCTTGGTTGGGGAACTACATCATGTAAGTAACCAAATTAAGTTACAATGTAATTTACTTAAAAGCCTTCAACTATTGAAATCTCACAATTAAAACTGCAATACTCTCAAGCATCAATAAGAAGAGTAGAAGTGATAAAACGGGAACACATTGAATATTGACGTGCCACAGCTTTGTAACGAAAAAGGTTTTTCCTTTTGTTGTAGCCCAACTCTATTTACAGACATAAAGTCTATAAGGTCTTCATTTTTCCAGATGGTGGTCAGACATCCCCCATATTACAAGAAGTAAACGTACCAACCTACAATGGACAACTCTGCACCAGTTCACAATTCCCCAATACCACACCCACAAACCCTAATGTACAGATCTGTGCTGGTCGACCTGCAGGAGGAGCTGATAGTTGTCAGGTAGGATTTATGATATTGGTACATTCATGAAGATCATTATCAATCAGCATCAATCAACCATCAATCATGATGATAATCATCATCATAAATCAGAAGCTGCATCAGCATCAACAGCAGGAGAATCATCACCAAAAATTATGTCAGTATTTGTCATCGTCAGCACTAATTCATTCACTAATCATTAATTTGTTGAATCGTTTAATACAATCCATTGCAGGGGGATTCAGGTGGTCCATTATTCTGTCCAGTAAATGGTCAATATGTACAGTATGGTATTGTATCTTATGGTGATGGCTGTGCTATAGCTGGAAACGCTGGTGTTTATACTGATGTCAGTGCTGTAGCCGCATTTATTGATTCAGTTACTAAATAAAAAAATCTTTCAAAAATTCAATGGTTCGTTGATGTAGAATAATTGAAATCCCATTTTAGGGGAGAGGTATGATTATACCATTTGCTACACACTTTTCAAACAAAATGTAGCATATAAGGGCCTTTTAAATTCTTGATCGGCAAAACTACGTAATTAAATCAATTCGTAACAAGTTTGCAAATCTGACAATGCTTGACTCAATTATATCTATACTTAGAATATGACACAAAATTTAAGACCTTGAAAGTTATTTTAGTTCAGATTAAGCTGCCATAATTGAAACGTGATCCGATGAATAAGCTATATTTGATATCGTCCACCATATTGCAGTGTCATCGTTATGAAAGTTCATAACAATTTGATGGAGTGGACATTTGGTAAATAAGAAATGTCTTAATTCTGAAATTGAAAGAAATGATATTGATTTAATTTAGACCTTATATTGCATATGTAGATTCGTCGTAATTTCTTTTCAATAAAAAGACATAATACGTATATCAACACGCCTGGACAGCCTCTCCTTGTGATTTATATTATTAATAGTCTATCTACCTACATCTTGTTCAAATAAAAACCAGCAATATAAGGTTGGAGAAACTGGCCATCTGTTCCTTGTGGTCCCAAGTTTCAACCTTTTTAATTGAGACGTCAGACTTCAACATGACCAGTGTTCTCAAGCTAGTTTTTCTCGTGTGTCTCTGTGCTATTAATATAGTAGTTGGTGAAGAGAGACATTTTGGATTCTATCCAGGACAGCAATACCAGTACCACTACCAACGTCAACCACCTCGACAACCTATTTTTAGTAACGTCTTTGGGTATTTAGATGTTCTACCGTCCTATTTCTACAATAATTACATTTGTAACAGATTTGGATCTGGCTACTACCAACCATCCTACGGTGGGCCCCTGAGTCACGCCTTTTACTACATCTACCGTGGAAAAAGGGATCTGACCTATACCAACTCAAGAATTAAACAATATGCCGTGGTGCAAGGCGTTTATAAAAATCTTGCCCAGTATTGGGAAAAAGCTGACAGAAACCAATTGCTTAAAGATGTAGTTAGAGTTACCATGAATATGGCTCAAGATAATACGAAAGAACTGACTGCTGTGGATGTTCTAAAACAAATCGTTCAAGAGAAGATGGTGTCCACTCAACAAGCTGGTAATGTTCAGGAGGTGTATGATGCTATGAAAGGCTTGAGAAGTCTCGGTAACGATCAAGTCAAATATGGTCTGTTTGGATATATCAAAAACTGTAAGTTACATGTATATTGTTTCAAATTAGTCTATCAGATTTTAAAGTAAACAAATTGATTTGGGATGAACCATTAATTGGTCTCTTTTTGGATGTAGTTGTCATAGTTTTGGAAAAATGATTGCCCTCATACTTATATATTTTGTATATATCTAACAATTCTTTTGGTATCATTTAGCTTGTGGTAACGTTGGTGGTGAGTTCTACTGTAGGTATCTATCCAGGATGTCACGAGCAGGTCACTGTGTGTCATCGTTCTTCTCTCGTCAACTGTTAAACCAATGTTGTCGATCACCAGTACCACCTCCACCGGTTGTTACTCCTAAACCAACCACCACCACTACAACCACCACAACTACACTAGCCCCTCCCACAAAAAGTAAGTGGTTGTACATAATCCATTAATCGAGGTTGCGGAATTGTGAGGCAGTTTCATACATTTTTCAACATTTGTTCACCATAAGCTTTATTCCCACATTTTTATGTTTCACAACCATTTAAACGATGTTTGACAGATCTCGCTGGCTTACTTCGCACAAATGCCTTTGTATTATGATCTGTTTACAAACTCCAATGAGTTTTCACCTGTCGTGTGTTTTTAGAATGTGGAATAAGTACCAAGAACCCAGCTACAAGATTTGTAGATTTTACTGCTATAACAACAAAGTTAAGAATTGTTGGTGGCTTGAATGCTGAACTGTGTGAATATCCATGGATGGTTCGTTTACAAGCTGGTAATGATTTATGTGGTGGAACTATTATTGATGAGACGCATGTTATGACTGCTGCACATTGCATTGGGTAAATCATTAATAAATCACAAATCTTTAGTCTTACACTATGTCATATCCAAACACTGTGAACATCCCCCGAAAGCTGGAAATGGAAAAGAAAAGGCTTATGTTTCTGCATGCCGCTGCATTAACCCAAACATGTACAGTAAAGCAGTACCTTAAATCCATTTCGTTTGATTTCCTGTATTGCAAACTTCCCGAGAACCAAATCTAATTGATCCGACTAGCTAGCTGTCTTCTGATGTCTCACCTAGTGTCTGAATAATTATCTTATTTTCTTCCAGCACAAATACAGCGAGTGATATGACTGTAAATGTTGGTGAATATGATTATAGTAAAACAGAAGCCCAAGATCAAGTTGTTGGTGTTTCTAAAATCACTGTTCATCCAGATTATCAATTGGATGGTGGTTCAGCTAGTAAGTCACTCTTGAAATATTGGGACAAAATCCTGCTTCATTTTCAATTTGTTTTTTTTTTTATTAAAGATTGCCGTTGTATTACTCTTTCGGGGTTCATAATCAAGCCCAATTTTTTTCTCTTTCAGAAAACGATATTGCCATCCTGACTCTAGATAAACCATTAACATTCAATGATTGTGTTCAGCCAGTTTGTCTACCGGAAGTTGGAGATAGTTCAGCTCTAAATAAAGCTCAGTGTACTGTAACTGGATGGGGTACTACATCATGTAAGTCCTTGTCAGCATTTATCAGTTACCTTTGTCATCAGGGCGGACTCAAGAGGACTCTTTCCAGCAATGTTAATACATGTATATATCTCTTTGTTCATTAGTAAGCAGTAGGTTGGTGTCCGAGATCTTTGTATCACTAGCCTGGGTTTATTCAGGTTACTTTTATTCTAAGATGCATAATGTTTTAATCACTTTACCGAATCTTGACGTCTCTAACGTCATAGAGATAGCTTCAGTATACGCTGCAAGAACATCTTGATTTCTAGACGTTACCATTTGGATTTTTACTTGCACTACTTTTTTTTCAGACGGTGGTAAAACCTCTCCCATTTTACAGGAAGTAACCATACCGACTTACAGTGGTGCCTTATGTGATGCTCAATTCCCCAACACTACACCTACTGATCCTAGTGTACAGATCTGTGCTGGAAAACCTTCTGGAGGTGCTGATAGTTGTCAGGTAGGATGCTAGGATCTTTGTTCCATTCCTCAACCGGTACACAGGTTTATTTACCAAAACATTTATGGTCATCCCAATACCTGAACTGCCTTTTTGGAATGTCTTGGATATGTCTCTTTGCTATGACGTTTTCACAACAAGTACAGGTATCCAATACTTCATCGCATTTTGCGATGCTTAACACTTTTTTTAATTGTAGGGAGATTCAGGTGGTCCATTATTCTGTCCAGTAAATGGTCAGTATGTACAGTATGGTATAGTATCTTATGGTGATGGTTGTGCTATAGCTGGAAATGCTGGTGTTTATACTGATGTCAGTGCTATGACTGACTTTATTAACTCGGTAACAAAATAAAGTTAGCAAATAAAATAGGTACTTCAGATGTTTTGGTTTTGTTTTTCATTGTGGAGACGTTATCTATATTCACTGTGCAACACATAATATATATGTATTAAAAACGTACTGTTACCTTAAAGAAAATGAACTACAGTGAAACTAATTCGTGTCTTGTTTGCACAGTTATTCGAATTCTCCATGATACATAAATTGAATTCCTCCTGAACTTGACTTTGCTTGCATTTACCTGAATTTGCTGATACATTGGTATGAAGGGCAAAGTTGCTACCAATGCAGTACTATTTAAGTTCATCGAAAGCACATTTTAACACAATAGGAATAAAAACGAACATAAACGGACTAAAAAAAAGTTACGTAAATTTAGAAAATAAACATGAGTTGTTGTTAATCAAGTAAAAGGTTGTATAGTCTAGAATAATAACTGGCTTACATTTCCAACCAAAGTTCGACATCATGTCATTCTTGTAGGTCCATATGGTTGTACTATTGTTCCACAATTGTTTCCATTCGACGAATATTAAATCCACTGCCCTATAGTTTATATATAATTTCCAACCTTATTGTTAGGTGCTTGAAAAATACTTTCATAAGAACTTTACCAAATAAAATCCGGAAATCTGCATCGAATCGAGATAATTCCAGACCTGTATTGTTCTGTTTTAATTATCTGAAACTCAAGTCGTTTAAGTGCGAATCGCTCATTGTTGTTTGTCACAAAGAAAGATAATTAAGGCGAAATAAAGTAATTACGATACTGAATGGTGTCGAGAAGGACATTTCTTACGCTTGATATTTTCAATACAACAGGTAACGCTTTTTTCGAAAATGCAATGTACCAAATGTTAACACATGTCTATACATTTTTTGGCATGAAGCTTGGAAAACATCCAAACCGCATGATTATGAAAAATATAATTATATTGTTCCCAACACGTTTTGTCATGTTGATTGGCATCACCACAACATCACAGAAATGCATTTATGAATATCTAAAACCAGTTCATTAACGTATTTTCAAAATCAAAACTTTGATTGATAACATAACTCTCATATTTCTTCATCTGTATGATGTGTAACGGGCTCTTTCACGTACGATAGCATGGATGTATTAGGAAAATAAATCAAGATAAGTTGCAGCCTTACATTTTAATGACTGATAAAAAAGGATGTCGACTGATGCAATCTGGTTATCATCATTGTTTGAGTTTGGATAGTTATTTGTGTTATAAATTGCTATAAATTGAGCAGAAAATTTGTCTCTCTGAAGGTTCTATTTAATCTGACTCTACCGCGCCAACATATATCAAAAGTAATACCAATGGCAAGATAAGAGTTCACCTTTCATGTTCATACGACGGAGAGGCGAGATACAATCTGAAGAAGGCATATTATGAACACTGAAATGAGTCTAAGCTGATGCTAATCCGCCAAATATTAACAAATGGGTGAATATAAGGACAGCGTACATGATAATGAACGAATGAGATCTCAAAGTTTGTTCACAAGTTATTAATATCCCGAGAGGAAGGTTACGAGTCTGTCTCGGTTCATAAAAACTTCTCCGATTGTTTGGTTACCTTTTCTTGTGGATTTTCTAAATACTGAATAGATTTTCTACCTACCTGTTTAACCTGGCACATGCTACCGTTTATTCTATAGATATATTAACTATAGTACAGAGTGTTGGTCATAGCTACATAATCTATACCAGAGCTTCCGTATATATTCTGAATGTCACACGTGGTATTCGTTACCCACCGTGTTAAAGACCTCTCTTTAGTTTCACTGTAATAATATACCCTTTTGGCTGTGTCACCATAAAAACAAGCCAGATTAGTTGAGTAATTTCCTTAAAGTATCGGGTACCTAATAGCTTCCAGAAGTATTTTATTTCTGAAACGTTGAGATCATTGAGAAAATGACGCATGAGCTGTTCATGGCAGTTACGTGACATAAAGTATATCCGGAACAACCCTATCGTATGTTTTGTCAACTTTTTAAACTGTGTTTGTTACTTATCGAATGTTTCCGTTCAACTATTTCTGGTAGTGCAAGAAACCCATCTGATATCATAAACCCCATTTCCACCCAGTAGTGTACATTCGTTGAAAAGGAACATATTACTCATCGGACAAATGTCAAGGATTTTCCACGAACGCGACACGAACGTATGACCACAGATATCTACAACCTTATATTCATGGAATTAGAAAGTTTCATTTAATGATACGAATTTTTTAAAGCATTAATGAAAATTGTAGTTTTCTCTGCTTTTCTCTACTGTGTGTTCCAATGTATTTTATTTGATAATTGGGATCATACTTATCTCGGTTCACTCGGCCCTAAACATTTCATTCTTGATATGGTCAGAAAACAAAAACTCGAGAAAATGTTTGGCCTTGGATCATAACATAACAGGGTCAAAATATCGTATTCGCTTTCAGGCATTGGAGAGATTTTTAAAAAACTGCCCAAAACTGACGAGATCACAATTTTATCACTTTGTATCCTTTCAAAGCTTTTATCTTTCATTATGTAATTTAATTTTTTTGAAAGATTCAAGGCCAAACAAACAGCTTGGTTTAAATGAAGGGACTTACAGATTCGTGAATGACAATAAACGTTGACTATTCTAACATATTCAATGCTTTTTCTACAAATATTGTTACAGACACATTCGGTAAATATGTTCCATTGAATATACAATGTCTGGTATACAATGTACATCTATGTAAGAATATAAAAAATACTTTAATCCAAGAAGCTTATTATGTTATCCCATTGTAAATCAGTAATGTGTGTATACCACTCAATCTCTTTGATATCGCCAATGAAATGATGAAAAGAGGAAAAAAACTGTTGTAAATGCGTGTGGTATTCATGGTTTCTAAAACATGTTAAATCCACTTTGTAGATTTAAACCGAACAACATTGAAGGTAGATTTAGACCTGATAGTGTTAAAATACTGTTCTTATTCTTATCTTCAAATCCAACACATGTAGGCATTCTAGGCAAAATTTGCTGACTAATTTGCTGTTAAAGTGTTGAAGTCTGGAACAACGTTGGTATATTCTGCAGTTTGAAATCTCAGGGTAATTTTCCCAATTTTTTTTACCAGTGCAGCTGCAATGGGTCACTGTGTTCCATGTCTTCTGTTAAAATTCGTAGAACACGAATGGGCTCCAACCAAACACACTAGCCTCGCGTGAGATGACGTCACCACGAGAACAGAAGGCAAAAACTTTTCCAAGATTAACAGGTTACTACTGTATAGTTTGAGTACGAAATGACTCTGGCCAATGAAAGCACACAATACCTACACTCAAATAGTATTTATATACACTTCACGCTGCATTCTCCAAGATTTACTCCAAGTGTCGACTGAATCGTTCTAAAGTAGCGACATCGGTGGATAGTGGATAATATCTTAATACTAATCTGCGATATCATAGTTATGTAACTCAGTCAGTGGGAAATATTTCCATAATTCAAATCAGGTGTTAAAAATAATTACATATCAAACATGGTGTATCGATATCTCAATCAAATCTTCTTACTTCTTGTGATTATATTATGCATGGACACATGTCAGTGCCGTAAACGACGTTATAAACGTGGAGACGATTGTCACGAGGATGTGGTATCTATGTATGAAGTGTCATTCTTTGGAGATTGGTCGCGGAAAGCTTTTCCTAAAATGTACCCAAGATACCGACCACATGCTCAATGGTCAAAGTTAGTCGGTAAGTAAAATTCTATGAATGAGATATATTTGTTTCATAATACACCTTTTTACTAAGGCTCCTGATGATGCTCCCGATAAACATGCGTTTTCTAAAACACCCCAGGTACCCTTACTGGTCTCGCCGATTCCTGTCAAATTGACCACAAGCTCCTTGAAAATTCAATTCCTTGCTTAAGCAAAACCGATCGCACGTTCATGTAATTCAAGTTGAGTACTCTGTGACCAGAAGCAGTTCTTCTATAATAGTTAAGCAGAAAGGTGTCAATTCATTAAAACTAACGTTCAACTTTTATTGATCTGTTACAATTGATTAGTTTAGCTATATAGTTGCACTGTCAATCTTTCCAAATAATCAATAATTTTGATTGTTGTCTGTTTCTTTCAAGACGAGCATTCTAGCCCTTGGGCGAAAAGACGAGGGGTATCTCGCTGACTTAAGATCATGAACATGAAATTTTCTCATTTCTGCTAATTGACATCATGACAAATATGCATTCCGAGTGTTCTGCTTGTTAGATTTATCAATGAAATAACCACAAATAACATTTACATAAGAATTAAAATACCGGAAAGAATTTCGAGAAAGTCATTTTTTGTCATACACAACGTTTTACTCATATTTGTTTCATTTTTTGACTGAAAACTATGTTTGAAGATTGGTTCAATCGTTTACCAAGAGATTTAATATATTATACCCTAGCAAGAATTCATCTTTTATTAAAAAACAAATCAATGATTAATACTTTCTGTGGACAGTTCATCAGTTTTGTAGACTTTCGAAAAAGAATATGGATTTGCCAGTTTGGTGTTCCGCATTGTTGAAGATGTCCTGACTTCTCACCGACTCAAGTCAATTGAAATGTAAAACCAATGATCTCAATTTGATTCAATTGCTATTAAACAAACGCTTTTGGATTTTTCCAGTCATATATTTGCGACACCCATCGCACATTTTGTAATCAATGGATTATCTCCTTCGACGTAGCTTTAATCTTTTCTTGCATGTCGGTATGTCCTCTAATTTATCCAATTTTAATGAAAACTAACTTTCAAGCTAGGAACCACTGTTAAATGGTAAAGATGTTGAATGGCAAGTTAGAAAATACTCATTTTTTTCTCCATATACCTTAATGCATAACATTAAAAATGGTCCTTTTATTTGAATTAATGTTTAGAGCACTGCGTTCAAACAATACATACATCAAAGGCGGCACGTTGTTTTTAAACACAACAATCAATGCAGAAATTTAGAGAAAGAAATGAAACCAAGAATATTGTTTAATGTCAAAGTTTTTTTCAGCCAAAATAAAAACTTAATGTCTTTAATGAATATGTTATCGGTCGGGTGTTTTTCAAGATATGTCATATACAACCACAACAAAAAATAGTAATGAATAGTCGGTGTAAGACAAGGTGACGTTATTATTCCCTCTTTGTTCATTGATTGTATGAACGTTATCTGTACTAACGGTTTAAAGAATTGTATGTAATAAACTCTATTGAAATATTTTGTTCATGAATGACCTTGCACCATTTGAAAGCTACAAGGATGTAGAAAGATTCCCTGTTAAATGTAAACTGCAAGAGTGTAATACATTGAAAAAATCCGGATGTATTAGCTCGGCAGGGACCTTCGGGTTATGAAACAAGCGCTACTCACTATGTCACCGCTGCTCTAACCCTAACCAGGGCACAGGGCAAATTTAGTTCTGCATATAGCAGAAATCCTGTATAGTTCTGACCATATGCATGTCAGCAAAATACATTTTCAATTATCGCGTGTTGTTTACACGAATTTGCTTCATAATACAACAGTGGGAATATCAATATACTTATTCTAGACTACATCAAAAGCAAACATATTTAGATGATCAAACGAACGATGCCTTTGTAAGTCTTTGGGGGAATTAGAAAGTTCCCAACGTCTGAAATTGGGAGACATTGTTACAAATTTATGTATTTGTTTGATGGCAATTCCCTGAGTACATTGATTCGGTGCAGCCAACGTCCGCACAATAGCAGTTCAGTAACAGTAAACATCGAAACACAAATCCTCTTTGGATTTTGCATCTGCACTTTCTGCTGATTATTTAATTTTACATTAGGGGCTTATGAATTTTCGCGATGAAACTAAAGAAAAGTCCAGCTCGATCATGCAGAATTTGAGAGTGATTGGCAATACATATTGCTCGTGTTTTTGGTTCCCTCTCAACAATAACAACAGTCCACACAGTACCATCTGGTGTTCATTGTTTTGGTTTTTAATTTTCGTCTCCTAAACCAACTTGTTCTCACATATTTTTTATAATGTAATGTTATATTCTCGGTGGAAGATATATTATAAATAATGTAATTTCCCGTTGTTTGCTTCTCGAACTCTCAAGGATGTTAAGAACATATTCTCGGTGACCCAATCTCACCCTTTAGAAATATCATACTATAAATTATTAATCCTTACACAAACAGGTACCGGATCCCCGCATGTATACATTATCACTATGTACATATGATAAACTACGTTCCGTGACATACCATTGCGTTATCAGCACGTGCAATTGATTGACATTTGCCCCATTACATTGAGAACATTCGCTATATTTTTTACTATCTTATCAAACATTCGCATCAAGGCAAAACGCACGCCGGTATTTTTATTCTTAAGGCGGAGCGTTTACTTAAATATTATTTGATTTTGAATAAAGAACTTAAGCGATGTGAACAATTATGCAGATGCATGCATATAAATAGTTTATATAAATATGAATATGAATATGAATAATATATGAATATTATGAAATAGCAAAGACTAGAATACTGCAACATTCAGAATGACATTGAATAGACGTGATTGTAAAGCAACCCCTCTCTCAGTCTAAATGTTACGTTCTGCTTCTTTTATGCTCCTTATTGGACTAACGACAAACAATGCTGTATTTTGAAAGGTATCTTGCAAAGGCAGTGGCATTGACCGGCTCATTTCGATTTCTAATTTTCGAATGGTTTTCAAATGTGCACAACCTGTAGCACTGGTCCTCGATAGTTTTAAACATGAGGTTTACTTGAGTTTCCTAACAATTGTGGAGATGTACTTTACCCAATCTAAGAAAGGTAGCACAACTGTTTACAAATGGCAGCTTGGGAATTAATAGATTAATATGACCAGGTAGAGATTTTGATTGTATGCCAACCGTTCCTTTGATCTTTTATTACAAGTTTATTGATGGTTCAAAATACATGTTACTGAGTTTTTCTGGCAGGTTCAAATATGTATCAGCAATAGAAATCGACCAGTTGGCAAATCGTTATGATTGAAAGAACATGTGTTATCAATACAACAGCTCATAAGTCATTTTTCTTATTTATGAAAAATTAATGAAGCAATTACAATAGATCGTTCAATAGTTTCATGATTGGCAGTACATATTTCATTTTAATGCCAAAGTAAAACACTATCACATACATCTTCTTTAGTCAAGTTTCTATCAATATCTGTATTGGATAAATAAGAAACATAACCAAACGGGCAAAGCAAAATAGAGCATTCCAAAGGAACTAATTAATAGTAAGGTACAACTAATTTAACTGGTATGCTCGTGTAATGCAGTACCAATTTACCGTGAATAATTGGTGCCTTAGAAATTAAGGGATTTTTTGCATGATGGTGTTTATCGTGATGTCTCAAACTGGACATTTTTTATTACCAATAAAGTTAAAAGTAATGCATGCGACGAAAATCTAATTTAAAATAGTAGCACATTGCGAAAGAAGATGCAACTCCAGTGTTTGTTCTGGAAATGTCGTCTGGCCGCCCACGATTGAGTTAAGCTGTAAATGTTATAACACGTCACACTTTACGTATCAGTCTGTCAACTTGATGTGACTCGAACAAAGTTATTTTTGATTTTGTCAATAATTTTCTTCGAAAGACGATGATTTCACTTTTCGTTTTACTATTTGAAAGTCGAGGTGCGATTTCCACCCATATAATGTAACGGCTCTCTAATCTGAACTTTCTAAACCCTAATACAAACATAACATTTAACTGTTATTATTCTTAGTAAGAAGTTTCAATGTTGTTAAAAATACAAGGTGTATTTCAACATACCCTTTTAACACTAACTTATTGTATTACATGTTCCAGCTATTTCTAGAGAGAATAGACACGATTTAAGAAAGGTTCTTCAACATCTGGAACTTTCCAGCGGTTGGAAGTGAACTGGTGTTGCTTTTCATTAAAACTAGCTGGATATTTACACTGTTTGCTTTAAAACAACTGGTTCAAAATATAAAATTGGAATTATAGTGCCCTTTAGTGCACCTTTTTTCAACCAATTCAATTACATCATTTTTTTTATATGTATAATGTGACAAATGCATTAACTCTGCTATTTGTATTGTTTTCCAACATAAATCACGTTACAAAAGGTTGTAAAACGTTTTTAAAAGCCAAAGCTGGTTTCTCAAAATTGTTGAGCCATCACAAAATACTGTTGAGTGCGTAATATAGCATTTAAATAAGGACCAGACATGGTAGTTTTCAAGGTTTTGATCTAAATGTAAAGAAAGTATACTCGTATAGAAACTTGTATTGACTTGTAATGTTACCATCTATCTTAATTTAACCATAGCGATACACTGTTAAAATCATTGTTGACTTTTTACAGGTTACGTCTTCTTTTCATCAGACGAACTTTAACTAAGGTGGAGTGTCTCTATCTCTTGTAAATTTAAACCTTATAGATTTTTCTTTGTGACTTAACCTAACTCCATCACCATCATACTCTTGTGAACAAACACACGGTACCTTTTCAAACGTTGAGCCATTAGGAAGAACTACATCAGGGCTATTGAAGGTTGAATGAAAATGCCAAGTGTACAAAGATCTGAAAGATACAATTTCAGCTGATGCATTTATTTACAATTTTGATCTTTAGACGCAGCCCATATTCGAAAGTATGCAGCCTTCAGCCTTCGTGAAAGACAATGGTTATTTGACCTCCGTATATATTGATCTGTCACCAATTTGCTCTTAATCTTATGCAAGAAAAAAAAAATATATTGATGTATTGCGCTTACAATAATATGTCCAATTATGTATATTTCATTGTAAACGAAAGAAATTTAATGCATCCAGGACATCTTAGGACATTCAAAAATTAAAATAACTATCTATATTGAAATCCTTATGATATATTTCAGGACGAACCCACGATTCAACGTACAAGTTATTCAGAGTGGGGGAACTAGCTACACCTACCTTACAGAAGTTTACTGAAGAGGGCAATAGTCGAATGTTGGAGTTTGAAGCTCAGGGTTTTAATGGTACCTTAGATAGTTTTACTGCTGCTCCTATTAGAAATGGAGTCGGTAGAACATCAGTCAGGGTCATGGCTAATGGAAAATATAATAGGGTAAGAACAACCTAATATTTGAGAACAGAACATGTTTATATTGCAAAGTAATTTAAAGTATATATCTATTGCTAATGAAATTATATCTGAATGGAATCGTATGTGATGGAATCTACGTGATAATATTGCAGTGGCAGGATTAGACGGAAGGTACGGTTTGATATTACCCGTGTATCATGTATTGTGTCAATTCAGTAACATTCGGAGTTGCATGCTTTTAACGCAAGGCGTGCCGTAGGCGCATTAATTCGCAAATAAATGAATTCGATGCTTGTCTCTATCGTACTACAAAGTGTGCAGAAGTGTTTGTTTATCAGAACAATATTGTTTGTTTCAGATATCGTTTATCGTGAAGATCGTTCCCAGTCCAGATTGGTTTGTTGGCATTGATAATGTAGATTTATGTAGAGCCGGCAGATGGCGACGTAGAATCCATATGACTATGCGACCTTTGGATGGTGGAACTGATAAAGGATTGACCTATACGTCCCCCAACTGGCCTACCCATCCTCAAGAACCAGTTTACCACATCCTTCCAACCAAACCTCGACATCCAGCAAGTCCTTTTTATAATCCAAAGCAGGAAAAAGTTCCTAAGATTGCTCATGTACTAATTGAGCGTACTGGCGAATTTATCCGAAGGGGGAAGAAAAAAACAACCAAGTTTCAAAATGCAACAAATACTTACATACCAACAGAGGCTCCTGTCAAAATCCCGAAAACTACCTCTAAACCAGCACCACATCTTGAAGAAGCTCGACCTCCGGACTTCGAGGTAGAAGTGACTCAACAACCTAGTAGTAATGAATATTTGCCTCCAGACTATGGCATGGTCACAGAAACTGTACCCGAACACAATACTCCCGAATTCAAGTATACTATGGATGATGACTCAACGGAATCTCTGACTCAAAATGACGATAGTGCAGCCTTGTGGAGCTACCGTGACGGTGTGTATACAAATGAAGCCAGTGAGGAATTAACAACGGACTCTTTGATATATGAGACAGAAAGTAATGAATTTGAAGAAGATACGACGAACCCACTTGTTGAAAGGCGTGTTCATCAGTCGAAGAGCGTAAATGAGTATAAACCTCCCCGCAAAGTTTCTCGTGAACAGAAAAGTCACCGATCTAAGGCCATCTCTCAAAAATCAAATCATCGTGAACACCCGAAACCACAAGCCCAAAAATTTGTAGAGCCAACAGAACCTACAGTACCAGATTTTGAGGCAAGATCTAATCTTCGTGACGAACATGGTCAACAACGAGGGATCCTATACGCCAATGAAAAGGCTTTAGAAAAGAAAGAAAAAGAATTGATACTCAATAACGGAGGTAAGTTGTTAAATGAAAACATATTACTACTTAACACTTCCATGCACATAGATTCTTATTTCCATTCTGCATAAATTATATTAAATACTTGGTTAGTTGCACGTACGCGCTGATGAAATTTAGAAGCGGAAAGTGCAAGGGAATACACTTAACACGTACGTGTAGGTAAACATGATGGAGATGGCAACTAGAAGGCCCTATAAATGCGAGACTGTGCATATGATTCCATGTAATCGAAGTTATTGGATTTTTTACATTGCAGTGATCAAAGATTGTCTAGTGACGCAATGGGGATCCTGGGGACCCTGTAGTAAAACATGTGGTTTTGGTGTACGCATAAGAAAAAGGCAAATAATACAACAGGAAGAAAATGGTGGAACGGCGTGTCCTAGAGTATCTGTTGAAACGTTATGTGGTAGTATGCGTACCTGTGGATGGAAACATTTCAGTATGTTCGCCCAACACTCACCGCGCCGAAGAAGAAGACGTCGACATCATCAAAAGTCTACAAATAGTTATGCACCAGTACATATAAGATATAGACCAGCTTATTGAGAACAATTGGGTTCTTAAGAACCGAGACTTGCAAATCCATGACCTGGATTGTTCTGGCGAGAGAATGATGTTTGTAAATAGTTATGCTGTACATATTTTTTTAAAACAGACCTTTCATTTTGTCCACAATATTTGTGATTCCTTGGTGATCTATGTATAGATTTTTACATTATAATGTGGCCGCCTGTGTCCGTACCATGTCACAGCGTCTGTTTCGATCGACGCCTTCCTTTACAAGCGAATTTACTACCAGCAGTTTTGCCAAAATCGTACAAAATATTCATGAAAACATGGATGTGCTCTGGTTTCAATGTTTTTCTATTAACTTCAAAGAAGTTATTGTACTAAGGCACTAATGAAAACATAACAGTTATTGTCTCTTTTTTCAGACAATATAGGCTACACAGATGTACGATTTAATAGTAGCATGTAGATGACTCCGAACAAAACAAAACAGCGATTGTCGACATTTTAGCGTATACCTGATGAGTAATTGAACTTTTGAAATGCATTCTCTGAAAATGTTCAATTATTGATGATATGTCATATATTAAATGTTTTTTTTAATATAAGACTGACGAAAGGCTAAAGCTTACAGGCGATATGTTACTTACATGCTGATAGTCCGGATTGTAAAATTGTAGTGCTCTAAATATTATAATCACGTGCCATTGTTATTTGCCTTTATCCATATTGGTTGTAGTGCCAGACTCTCGGGAGAATGAAACAATACAATGTTATTTTTGGGATCCACCATTGTAATTTGCTGTATATCTACTTGGATATATAAGTGGTTGTAATGTCAGACTCGGGCGAATGAAATAATGCAATGATGTTCATTGGAATACCATGTATATTTTGAGAGTTCAGGATTTTGAGGCATTGAATGAAACCATTCCTTTGGTGATACGCATGTAACTCATGTGATAGTTTTTATATGTTAATTTGTAGATAGCTCAATAGATGTTTGATAAAAAGCAAATGTCACTTCTCTTAGTTTTTGTTTAATAATTCCCATAACACCACTTGGGCAATAGACCTAACGATGAAATGACTCTTGGTGTTTGAGTAGTCTGTCTGTATCCAAATGTTTTTCGGGTAGGTCTACCGCCTCTTTATTTTCCCGAACAGAGGCAGAAATGTTGAACCCCTATTTCATTAATTGTTTTCTTGTAAATTCATGAAAGTCAAGGAGAAAATATATGGATGAAATGTAAGGGAAAGGGAACAGTTGTCTGAAAATCACATAGAGTAAAACTTTTTGTAACAATATGATTCAAGTCTGTTTTAACATTTCAAACGGTGAAATATACAAAGTATAAAATTATTGCCGTCTGACAAAAAGTATATCGAGTAGTTTCCCCTTAATAACCTCCAATTATTACTGATCAATAAAGCAAACGATAAACAGTGTTACGCAACTGTTTCTGTCAAGATTTTGATTAGAAGATACATCTGCACATTTAATAGAACGATTGTTCAATGAATCGACTATGAAGCTTCAAATGCCACGTATGAGAAATCTACAAAATCTGTTTAAAATGTTCCGATTATATAGGTTTATTCATAGGCAACTAATCTCGTCATTAAAATGTAAATTATCATGCCACGTTTATGAATAATAATAAGATTGAAAAGAAAGGTGAAAGGCCACAAGTAACAATAGATGTTATATTTACATAATGGATCATTATTTAACCAGACAAATTTTAATAATGTTCAGGTTTAATCTAATTAGTATTATTATTGAAAACTTGGAGCATCAGACTGGGGCAGGAAATAACCAGAATGTAATGGAATAACAGGTAATTCTTTCGAGACATAGAAACACACTAATTTAATAAGACAAAATATAAATCAAATAACAGACAAAGATAACAAAATAACTAATAAATGACAAAGTTACAATAAGGTTTATAAAAGCAATGTTAGATTTATTAAAGACGAAATAGCAAATAATAAACAACATTCGTAGTATTCCCTATGTTAAAGTTAATAAAAGAAAATAACAACTAATAAATAGAGCATACCACGACACATATAAAGGCAATGTCATGGCAATACTAAAAGTTTACAACCGTCAACAAACCAGAACCATTTCATATGACATGAAATTGAACCCGAAACAACGAGAAGTAAACACAATTTCACATAATAAAGCACCCCACCTTTCTTCTGTCCCGGACAATGTATTTGAAATTTTGAAAGCGGGAATTTAATTTTGAAAGCTGATATATTTTGATCTTTATAGTTTATATTTTCCAATGCTCTTTCACCCATGCCAATATCAGTAAATCAGTAGGTAGTTCTAAATCCATTGAAAACTTTAAAAAAAAGTTGATTTCAGTAGACATGCGCCCTTTAACGTTTAAGGCTATTGTTCGCCATTTTAAGTTGCCGAATTGGTTGATTTGGGTCTTGAATATATGTAGGACGATACGTAATTGACAATTGATTCATTTCGTCCACAAGCTTATCCCAATACTGATATGAATATTGGAGTATTTGAAAGATGTATGACCAATGACGTAGCTGTACGGCTATAATTTATTTGATATATCAAGTTTTAACCATTCTTCAAAATGTAGGCTCTTGGAATGACAACTCGATAAAATAACTTCCAAACATTCAATTTCAATTTCGACAGTAATCTGTGAACGAACACTATTACTGATTAGTTTAGCGGAACAATTCCAGTTTTTTTGAAACCATGGTACAATTAGCTCCCGAAATTGAGAATTTGTCTCTTTAAATATTTGACATGTCAATCAGGCCGACAATCAAATAATCGACGTTTTTTCTTTTATAGAAACAATGCAAATTGGAACTAAACCTAATTTGTATAATTCAATAACGCAGTTGTCTATTAATATTCAACTCCAGTCACTTGAGCTACTCGACTTATTGGGTGACTTATTCTCAATCTGTCAGACAACGTTTTAGGAGAAATGGAAATGTAGCACATACAAACTGTAAATGTCTTCACCAATATGCATTAAACTTTGACATGTTTGCTGGAGTGGTAAAACGAGCAACGTCTATTTACGCGGAGATCCGATTACGCAGTACACTTTAAGAACATCAGTTCTTACCATTTGTACAACTATAAAAACTTAACTAAATTTCAAGAAGCAATTTAGTTTCTTGCGCTGTTCTCGATAATTTTTCTGAAGATGTTGTCTTTCATGTGAAGATAATCTGATATCAGTGAGAACTTCTTTTCTTAGAAAGCTGTTCTTATGGAAACTGTAAAGAAATAGATTTAATTGCCGAAAATAATCAATAACAATCAGAGAATTGCAGATGCAAAATAAATTATTTATTGTCAAAGATAGACATCAATTCGAAATTCTGAACGCTTGAAAAGTCAGTGATGAGTTGTTTTATTTCGTTTAAAGGACGATAGTTCTAATACTGTTGAAGTTGTTCGATTTACGTCAACTAATCACTTGAACAGATTAACCAACCAAGTCAGATTTGCCCTGGATCCATTGGTTTGATCCACCAACTCGATGAGTTATTCCAAGAAATCTAGATACTTATCATCACCATCGGATTTGATTCCACCATGGCGTTGTGAAATTCTGATTTCCTTTGAACAAGATCTTCTACTATAAGAGACGACATTTCATCACAATTTTTTTTGGATTGATTGCTTTTTTCAGAAATTCAATTAGTGTAAATGTACCTAAATTATGCACCACAATTAAGCTGAATTTATTCGTGGGCGTACTGAAATTGTTTCTAAAAAAATTTTATGTTTTGTATGTCATTATATTCCTTTGAAAGTTGAGGTAGATTTTAAAAGGCACGCTATCGGTCAATAAAAGCCACTTAAGGGAATATTCCTCAACATTTTCTGATGATCTAATCTAATTCAGACACCTGAATTTTCTTCTAAAAGTATTTCTTTAAAAAGGGTCACAGGCTTCTTAATATTTGTAAAGTAATATTCACAATTGACTGAATTAACGTCAAGAAGAAAGGTTTTAAAGAGAAAGCCAACCAAAATTATGTCGGGAGAGTTTTGTTTTGGCAAAAGCATCATGATTTCGATGTTTCGAGTGAAATATCGCTCATAAAACTATGAAGGTGATGATGAAGATGATAATATACATATATAAAAAATGACAAACTTCCTGATATCTTACAATTGTGAAGGAAAGATATGTTTATAAGTCAATTGTCCAGAGTAGTATGGGTATCTTTTATTTTCATTAATTGGCAATAAATTTCACAGTTTTGTCGACGTATGCCGTATATGTTCAATAGCAAGCTAATGGGGCAAATTTGGTGGAATGATGAAACACATATAAATCAGGGTCGACGTTTGCTCGTATACCCTGTCGACCGAATTGATACCAGTGCAAATCTTGAAGAATTACCATGGCGCTTGTGAGATTTATATATGTATTAATCATTAGGGACCAATACGTAAGCTATTCAGTAGTCCGAAGTGATTGATAACGGAAGCTATATATTTTCCAGACCATATCATATGATTAATGAGATTTAGAAAAACTTTTGTTTTTATTAATTCATTTATTTTATCATCACTGACGTGTTTAACCGTCTGGAAAAGGTCTCTAGTCATCAAATTAGCTTCGATTATCTAGTCTAATAATGCAAATGTATGCCTCATTACTTTTTGACGTAGTGTAATATTTTCACTGGACTAATCAAGGGTAGCTGTATAATTGCAAATTGCAATACGGTAAACTTATTTGTTGCAATAATGATGTTGTTTAAGAAATGGAAAATATCATGCTTGGTTAGCTGGATCAATATTGTCTACAAACTTCAAAAAAGAAGCTCGCATACATTAACTTCACGGAACTTGAAGGGATGCATTGATCCCGTTTTCACAAAACATCAGTTTTTTTTTACAAAGGTTGGATTTTGTCTGGTGAAATGTTTGACCTCTGTGTTCTTAGCCTGGAAGCAGAATTTGACCTCCGAGAACATCAAAGGAAAAGTTTCATTTTTTTTCATCGGCGGAC